ACAAACAAACAAACAAACAAACAATCGAAGGAAACTTATTTGAAGATGCCCCCTCCCCCCAATTCCCAGTAAACAGGCCAGACCACATCACAGTAATCTCGTGAGTGGGTTCTTTAACGTCCCCTGCCTAACCAAATTAACTAATTACTAGATCCAGGAGACGGGACCTACGGTTTATTCGTCGTTATCCGAGAAGACTAGAATGTCTATCCATTTCTTGATATTATAGAAAGGTAGCGCATTCTCCTCAGTTATTTTAAGACCTTGAGTGTTGGTCCGGCCGGGGCTCGAACCGTCGACCTCGGCCTCCCGCACAACAGTCCAGCGCTCTAACCAATTGAGCTAACCGGGAGGTGGTTAACATAATTTTACCGTTGCTTGTCCACAGATATTTCAAATTGTTTTGTCTCTTGTACTCTCTTATGCGACCAAATAGCCTCTTGCGATAACTTGTCAATGATTCGTTAATAAAGATCTTGCCATTTCTACCTTCAACTGAAGGTAGGTGACGGGTGGTTTTTCCTACTAAGTTCTTCCGATTCTTGTAGAGTTCCTCCCTCTTATGTCTCTGCATTAATTTCACAATAAGACGATTTGTCACATTCTTTGAGGCTGGGAGTTTATGCGCAGCGGCAATTTGACAGTCATCAATTTCAACACCAGCGAGCGATCCAACTTCTTTCACAAGTTGATTAGGGTTTTCATACGATGAGATCGGTACGCCATTGATTTCTAAACAGTCTCTCCTTTGATATTGTTGGGTCTCATCAAGAGCGCATTCGACTCGGTACAATGACTGAACTTGTCTGTCGGTTGTCTTCGTCAGCTCACCGAGTTTCCCCTCAAGCGAATTGGCAATCGCTGTGTGTTTTTTATCGAGGTTAGATGTTTCGCTTTTAACACTTTGGAGAGCAGCTACGGCTGTGTCATATTTCTTAGAAACGAAGTCATGAGACTTTCTCTAATTCGTTACATCTCTCAGTTAGCGCTTTGATACTCGATTTCAGTTCCAGTATCTCGGTTTTTAGTTCACGTCTTATACTTGGTAGAAATTCTTCATTCCAAATTTTTCGTAATTCTTTTGCACTTAAACTTTGATCGGGCATGTTCAGTGAGTAATGATTGAGTTCTAGGTTGGCATAAAGATGAAGAAATCCACTACTCACGCAGCCATGTCAAGCCGCCATCTTGTCTCAACCGCACCATCTTGTCTCAACCCTGAGAAATCTTAATATGCTGTTCTCTGTGATTGGTGTGTCAGAAACTTGGCTAACTGATTGCACTGCAGAACTCATAAACATCACAGGATACAATTTTGTCTCCAACCATCGTAAATCGATGGCGGCGATGTTGGAATTTATTTACAAAACGGCCTTGAATACAAACTTGAAGAATGCAAATTTTCAGATCGAGATGTAATTGAATCACTTTTCTTTGAAATTATTGTTCCCCACGATAAAAACATTATTGTCGGTTGCGTGTACAGACCACCAAGTCAAAACACTGCTATTTTTATCGACAAATTAAACAATATTCTCTCACTAATTTCTAAAGACAATAAACATTGTTATGTAATGGGAGACTTTAAGCTAGACCTTCTCCAATGCAATCATCATGTTTCAACGCAGGAATTTATTCTTATTATTTTCACACGCCTTTCTTCCTCTCATCTCCAATCCAACGCACCTCACCTCATACTCTGCGACACTAATCCACAACATATTCACCAACAACCTTGCACATAATGTTTTTAATGGTATTATAATAAATGATTTACCTGACCACTTACCTGTTTTTACATATTTTATTGACGACACTCTAACGCACGGCACAGAAAGAAAAATTATGATACGCTCATTCAATAACGATAATTTGCAAAAATTCAACGAGAACCTTTCAAACGTAAAATGGTCCTCATTTTGCAACATGGAAGATCCCAATGAGGCCTCTAATGATTTTATTGAAGAATACTCCAGAATCTACAATGCCTGTTTTCCTTTAAAGGTTCTCAAAGGTAAACAGGTGAACAAGTTCTTTCCCCCATGGCTTAGCCCTGGACTTCTGAAATCCGTTAAACAGACTCTACAAAAACCTCGTCACATCGCCCTCCACATCTTCTGAGATGAAGTATAAAGCCTACAAAAACATTGATTCGCAGAGTTATCCAAGTAAGGGAAATTCGGAAATCCAGTACTATGATCAATCTATCTTTGCTAAAAGGTATTTTCCCGGACAAACTTAAAATGGCTAAAGTCATTTCCATCTGCAAAGCAGAGGATCCTAGTTTTTTTGTAAACTACAGACCTATTTCTTTGTTGTATAATTTTTCCAAATTTTTCGAAAAAGTCATATATAATCACTTAGTAGAATTTGCCGAAAAACACGATATACTGTACCACTGTCAGTTCGGATTTCGGAAAAATCACTCAACATCGCACACGCTAATTCATTTGGTAAATAAAATTGCATCTGCAATCGACCAACACGAATCAACGGTGGGTGTTTTCCTAGATCTTTTCAAAGCATTCGACTCCTCGACCGCCAAATCTTGTTTGCCAATTTGAAGCACTATGGTATCCATGACGTGGCTCTGCAGTGGTTTAAAAGCTACTTTTCTTTCCACCAGCAATTTGTCCAATTCAATCAAGCTTGCTCTCCAGTGCAAACCATCAAGTCTGGTGTCCCTCAGGGTTAGATTCTAGGCCCACTGTTGTTTATCCCATACATTAATGACCTCCTTAATGCCTCTGAATTAACAGACCCTCTACTTTTCGCTGATGACACCAGTATCTTTTTTTCTCACTCAAACCTAAATTGCCTAGAATCCGTACTTAATATGAACTCCAAAATGTTGACGTTTGGCTAAAATGTAGTAAGCTTTCAGTTAATATAAAGAAAGCTAACTGCGTCATTTTTAAACCCAGACAGAAGAAATTTAACTCCAGCATTTCTCTCTCTTTTGAAGGCAAACCCCTACAACAATCTAATGTAACTAAGTTCCTTGGGGTCTATATTGACAATCATCACACCTGGAAACACCATATCAGCTATGTATGTAAACAAATGGCTAAATCAATAGGTATTATATTTAGGTCTCGCTTTTCCCTATTTTCTACAACCAAACTCACTTTGTACTACACCTTAGTTTATCCTTACATCGTCTACTGTAAGTCCGCCTGGTCGTCCACATACGTATCTAATTCAAAAAGCGAGCTGTGCAGGCTATCACCAACTCAGACTATTGAGCCTATTCTCCAAGGTAGGAATTTTAGATATTTTCCAAGTCAATACGTTTGAAATCGCCAAATTTATGTTCTATTTGAAAAATAACTTATTTCCCCCACTGCTTCTCAATCGTTTTGTAAGGAATAGCCAAATTCACAACTATGGTACAAGAACAGCCAGTAGTTATCGAACGCATTTGTGCCGTACAAATCTCAAGCAATTTACAATTCTCTACCAAGGTCCTAACATTTGGAAGTCTCTCCCTATTTTAGTCACTTGTTCGTCAAACTTTCTAGGTTTAAGACGAAATTGCAAGAGTGTTTACTTAAATAATCATTGAATTGGCCAAGCCGCCCATTCGCAGCACTTTTTCTTTACTTGATTTATTATTGTAAGTGATTATTGTAATTTATTATTGTAAGCTCTCCCATAAGCCCGGTGGCTTCTTGGGTCTCCTCGCCTTCGAACCGTTATCGCTGTAATGAAATATTTTTATTGTTAAAATAAGGCAAATAAAAGATGACGATGATGATGTTTTCAGTCGTCCAATTCAGGCCTCAGTGCAAACAGCTGAAGAAATTACCAAAGCAGCTGTGTGCCTACATAATTACCTGAGACAAACTAACTGTGCATCCTACTGTCCATCAGGATTTGTTGACAGTGAAGATGGAAGTGGTGATATAAGACCAGGGGAGTGGCGCCAGGTTGTTCGCAATGAAAGCAGAGGGGCACTGTTTGACATTAGAGACATTTAGTACCGCGTTGTTCGCTTTTACGGCTGACGTAAAACCGCGGTTTGGCGTTTGGCGTTTGCCGTCCGAGGTTTCACCGTTTCATGTCGTTTAGCAGAGCCGGTTATCACGTCAAGTAACAGCGTGAGAAAACATCGAAATTCTGGGAATTTTTTATTCTCGAAATGGCGGCCGCTGCAAGGTACGTTTTCTTATTTGAGCATTTAAGCTATAAGAAAAGTTTTTTTTTTGTAAGTTCCACTGTCTTTCTCTTTTGGGCAGGATTTTAACGGTATCCTCACGGTCATACTCCACGAAGATACCAGTTCTGACTCAAGCAGTAGCGATGACGACGACCTGGACTTTCTTGTTGTTGATGCCATGTTCCCGCCAACAGGTACACTGGAGTTTCCACGACTGAATTTGGACGACCTGAGCGACAATCAGTTGGAAACCATGTTTAGGTACGCATTAATAAGCTTAGTTTTACAGAAGCTTTGCTTCTGCAAGGCGATGGAAAGCCAGTAAAGTTACAAATAAAGGGATAATTTGTGACCCTTCATACAAGAACGTCGCCTTATCAAACATAGTAATTTAGTGAAACCGGGTTTCGACAGGGTTTCCAGAGGGTTTAAAGCCCCTCAAACCAGGTGTTTAATGGGTTTCCAAAGGGGTTTTAATGGGTTTCTTAGACTAGGTTTACACTAGAGGAGAGTTTTCCAGATTCGTAAATGTTTCCGGATTCATCAATTTTGGAGTATTCGGATTCGTAGGCGTTTACACTGAAAGGATATTAGGATTCCTGACCGTTTACACACAACGACAACTCCGGGAACATTCGAAATAGAATGGTTACCACGCTGAATGTTGTTTCGTCGTTCGATCAACAAAGTGAAAATATGCCTCCCAAAAAGAGGCTACAGTAGATCCAGATGTCACTGAGGCAAATTTGAGTTGGACAGATGCCAAGCCATCTACGTCGTCGGCGATGAAGTGTGGCTGACGTTAAACTTCCTTGCAATAATAACTTGCGTTTCCTCAGAAATACTGCGGTACACATGATAAAATTTATCGCCTGAACCTGCAACAAGATTAGGCAACCGGAGACCGCCAGCAATGATAACTTG